CCTGTCAGAGACAGGGCTGGGGGCGGTACAGCCGCCAGAGCAACTGCCGGCATTCTGCTGCTGTCTTTCCGGTATGCCGTACCGGCTATAAATAGCTTGCTGGTACGGTGTACCGGAGCGTACCGGCCTACTTGCACAGCTGAGTAGGAAAAACCTTTCAAACTGCGTCCTCACTAAAGCAAACGTCGTATTTAGGGCAGGCTCCGTGAACACTGCATGGTATGTTTACACTGTAGCTGAGAGCAAGCCTTGCAGCCTGGATAGGTAAACTTGTGCTGGCCTGGCTCACTCTAGCATGCTAAAAATAGCTATGTAGATGTTGTGACTCAGAGTCTCAAGCCCACCCAGCCCCATAAGCTTCAGTGCCCCAGCTGTGATGTCTACACAGTTATTGTTAGTTTGCTAGTGTGAGCCCTGCTAACACAAGTCTATCTGCTCAGGTTGGGAAGCTTGCTTCCAGCTGCAGTGTATACATACACCCAGCCTGTGCTCAACCACTTCACCTACTTTTCACAAACCAGAGTGGCCCGATGTTAGCACCTCTTGTCCTAAGGATTCCCTCTGGAACAGCACGTTCCCTTGCCTCTGAGCTATAGTGCACTAACTGCTGCAAATCTCCATGGCAAACAGGCTGCTGTGTTCTACTTGCACAACCAACGTATTTCCCCACAGAAATGAGCCGTCCATGATCTCTTTGGGGGCAGATGCACCTTTCTTCATGTTTCAGCATGCACTGTGGCAACCTGCTGCAGTAATCCCTGCACCAGTCAATACAGCTGTCCCTAACACAATGTAGGACATAGGGTGATCAGATGTCCCGATTTTATAGGGACAGTCCCGATATTGGGGGATTTTTCTTATATAGGTGCCTATTACCCCACACACTCTGTCCTGATTTTTCATACTTGCTATCTGGTCACCCTAGTAGGGCAGTTGGAGTGCATGCAGACAAATGAGAGAATACAATTGTGGGACACACCACAGCACGTAAAATGGCACATTACTTAATTACTCCTGATGTCTGTTTATTGTAGGGCAGCCCTGGCAGAAACAAACTTACCCTACACCCCACTCCCCCCAAGTAACTCTTGCCGGCTCCCAGGGGAAGAATTAAGGTTGCAGGGCTCATGTGTACCTCTATGTCTCTATTTCCTGGTTTTCAGAGGTTTAACTATAGGTGTGGTTGATGTTCCAGGAGGTGTTGAGGTGCTGCATTAATGAAGTTTTTGGGTAATGAATTAAATCAGATGCCAACTTGCAATTTTATTACAGATCTTGTGATATTTAGTGTGTTTTCTCAAAACGCCAGCTCCTGGAGCAGTACAATTACATCACAATCTCAGCTGTGTTTATTTTTTTTAAATGAAATAAACTGTCCTTCGTGGTTGTGGTGGAAAGCTTGAAAGCACAAATGGTAAAGGCTCAAAAAAAACCAAAGGCAAATAAAACTAACCAAATTGAAGTACTTTAAAATAACAAGATTTAAAACAGTCTCATGACTTTCTGTAGGGTCTTTTGGAAGGCTTTGGGATTTGGCAATACTGTGACATGATTGTAGGAGTAATTTGGGATTGTGTAACTTTTTATTTAATTGTGATGTTAAAACTTTTCATAATCTGGCAGTGGCAGATTGCCACCTGACCATCTTACTTGATTTTTTTCTGTCTTTCCCCCACCCCCACTGTTTCTCTGTCTTTTGTTTCTTAGTGCAAGTTGTTAGAAAGGTAGGGTCTGTACCTTTCTGTGCTTATACAATGCCCGATGCACTGGGTGCTACTAGAAACAAATGACAGATTTTTAATTCTTTGACTTTACAGTTTTACTTTAGTGGCCAATTGCTTTCTAAGGCAAGTAATAAAAATGCATATGAAATTTCTTTGAACTGGAGCAACTGCCTGTGCTGTATTCACTGTGGAAAGTATGTCTTCTTGTACACTTTGAACAATTTCTTAGCATTTTGGAAAGCAGTTATGCAATACCAGGAAATACACTGCTAAATTCATATTATTTAAACCCAGTTTTTCAATGGAAGGGGGAGAAAAACCCTGCTGACATAACATTGGAAAAGTTGCATCCATTGCTAGATACATTTCTTCAAATGTGATTTTCATTTCTCAAATCCTAAGAAAATGACAGCCTTTGGCAATATTAATGAATTTTTCTAAAGCGTAGGTTATGAGGAGTTAACCTAAAAGTCATTTCAGGTAAACCAGCTTCTAAAGTAGCTAGTATATGGGTTTAAAATAAGGCATCTACTGCTTAGGTCACCTAGTAAATTGCTAACGGGAATCAAATGAGAGTACTGGAGTTAAAGCCGTAATGCATTAGTGAGCGTGTGGTATAGGATTCATTGGAATATGGTGACATTTATGAAGGGCCTAATATTACAGCTCATACATCAAAAAGATTTGTTTTTCTGGTTGCATTAGACTGCTTACTGACTAGTGAGGGCTGGACTCTAATCTAATGGCTGGAGAAATGGAGATAAAAATAACTTATAGGCATGTCCTGGCCTAGTTTTTTTCAGAGAAAGTATTGGTCCAGGTCAGTCTAATAACGATTAGACATGTTAAGGGAGCCAAAATTCTAATTAGATTTATGCAATCTATGCCACATAATTAATACCTGTAAAGATCCATAGTATGTTACAGAAGTAGAAAACATTCTTTACATTGACAGCAATAGAATGGTATGCTGCAAAAAAAAAAAAAATCAGACTAGTTTAATGGTGTAGGCTAAAAGTTCACTTGATTTGCTCTTTCAGTTATAGACAGCACTATATAAAGTGCCCATTAGCTCTGAGACAGATAGGACTTGTGTTTCCAGAATTGTTTCTAGGGTTGGTAATTAATCTTTCCAACCCCATTAATGTTTGTCGTGTGTTTATATACTAAATTTGTCTTAATGTTTTTGTAAATGTGGTTATCTATATTAAGCTTTGCTGCTTTCTATGTTTAAAAATTGTATGATTTGTATTACATGTGCTGGTTTCACTATATTATTTCTACTACAGTAGCACCCACAGACCATAGTCAGGGCTCAGGACCCTATTGTGCTAAGTGTTGTATGTACAAAACGTAAAAGATTGTCCCTGCCCGATACAGTTTACAATCTAAGGCCCAATCCTGCAATTTTTGATGTGCTGGCAGACTGCTGACTTGTATGGAGCCCCGTTGACTTCAGTGGCAAGATGGGACCTAAATAGATAACAGGTGACTTCAACAGATGGTGAGACAGTTATGATCAATGGAAAGTTATAAAGGCATGGAACTTCTGTAATTTATTTATACATTATAGCAGTTATAATTATGTGGGATAGATTGCATAAATCTATGGAGGAATTAGCTTATCAGTGATCACTGTGCATGTATAAATTCATAATTTAAAATGGTCCAGTTTTTGTCCATTGAAGTTAAATTCATAAAACAAAACAACATAGCCTGAAATCTTGTAACCTCTTTAATGTTGTAAATTATATTCCATGAAACTGAAATATGGCTAAACATCTTCACCTAGAACAATGGGAAACATTTCTTCTTTCTTACAGTAGTGTGATTTTTTTTTAAAAGGTTTGTCATTCTGAAATGTTAGACTTTGCTGTTTCCTTGTTTTTTGTGGCTTTCTCGGGTCTTTAATGGTACTCCAAAAAGCTTTTTGTGATTCATTTAAGAAATGAACTCTATTGCTTTGGGATCAGTTAAAATGTCTCAGTGAAATAAAGTCCCTGAAAATTGTTTTATCTGAAGCAATAAAGAAAAGTATACCAAGCTGCTCAATTTAACTATCCCTTTCCATATAGGATACTTGTCATTTTGTAGATCAAGAGAAATATGAATAAATCACCAGTGTGATAGACTATCTCTTTAAACATCGGTTGATATAATTAATTATGCATCATCTTGTAGTGTTGTGACAATGTTGAACTTGGGCATTTTTAACACTTAAATTTCCATTATATTGTTACACGTACTCTGTGCTGCAGAAATTCTATTTATATAGATGCATCTGCATGCTGAATAACTATTAATTTTGCAGACTATGCTGATCTCAATAACTTGAGCCAAACTGTTATGTCTTTAAAAACTAGAATTCATCTGGAATGAGTTAATGTTTGCTGGTTATTTGTTTTGTTTTTGAAGATGTAATTATTAGATTCTAATGGTCTTGTGTCACTGATGATAGTTTAGTTGGTATTTCACTTGCCTTAGTACCCCCTTCTGAAAATTAGAGAGAAATTAACTCCTTAGTACTTTGTGCTTTGATATATGAGGCTGAAAAGTGTTATGAAAAAGTTAAGTATTATTTGCATTGGATATTCTTTAGAAATTATTATGAACTTATATGCAGTTAATGTATTATCCCGTTATCTGCTGGACTTGGTTTTTTCATATTTTTTTTTATAATGGTTATGTTGTATATTCAATGTAATGCTATTCTGGCAAATTCAGAAAGCTTAAAAATCATTTTGTTTCAAATGAGTTACTACTTTATACATATATATAAAAACAGTGAATAATTGATGCTATTTAAGCTTTAGATAATTCTTGCTAAAAATGGAATAAAATCAATTTTTTAATAAAAAATAAGTCTAGTGTAAGTGTGGTGTCTACTTTTCTTTTTTGTTTTTGTGCAAAGGAAGACAGAGAGGGGTATATGGATGCTGGGGTTCTGAGGGGTAGTAATTTTAGGCTCATGATGAAATTTCAAAAACAAATCTGATAGATTGGGGAATCTAAATTTCTCAAATATTAGTTACACTTGTAGTCTGAAAATACATAGGGAGCCAAACAGATACAGTTCTTGAATCAGAAAAGCCATTGTAAGAACTAAGGGGGTTTGTTTGTGTGTCGATTTACTCAGCTTTGTAATAGAATGTTGTAGTACACTGTTCTTTTTCCTGATTATTGTCAGGTGTTTATATAGTGAAATGAGTCTGATTATAATGTTTAACAGTAAGCTTATGTGCAATGGAAATATCTTTTTGTTCTCTTATTCAACAGGCCATCAGCTGTAAAGGTCAGCACAGTATCTCTTATACGTTATCCAGAAACCAAACAGTTGTAGTGGAGTATACACATGATAAAGATACAGATATGTTTCAGGTAAGACTCTGCTTATTAAAATAGTATACTTGTTATGCAGCCCCTCTGCAAGCAACCCCACTTCTACTCTTTCTTAAGTGCTACCTTTGTGCTATAGAAGTCTCATGACCATATTTAGAGTTGCTCTTCCTATTGAACAGGCTATCTTTTTAACCAGAGCCAGTATCTGTTAAACATCCTTACCCTTCCACCACTGTTTATTTTCCATACGGATACCATAGCAGCTGTAAAAATGGCACATGCAGTGTATTTGGGAGCATTAAGAAACACTAAGGCCCAGAATACAACTAGAGTTAGAGGGGTTAGAGTAGCAAGGGAGTAGCTGGTAGCAGGAGATGGGAGAAGGAAGGGAGAGGCAGGAGCAAAACGGGGGCAGAAGATGGTGGGGCAAGGAATAGGAACATGGGTGAGAGCCAGGGATGAGAACTACGCCTTCAAGGAGGCAGGAGTCCTATGGAAAAAATAATATGTGATCTTGTAATTAAAGACTGCATCATAATGCATATAAACAAGGACGCTGAATTGAGGATGCATAGGCAGCCTTATTTCCGGCATTGTCTAACTTTTGAGTGCTTGACTTTGCAACAGTAACATTCTCTTAACGTAGGTTGTTTTTTAATGTCATTTTTAGGGCTGTCGATTAATCGCAGTTAACTCGTGATTAACTCAAAAAAATTAATCGCGATTAATTGCAGATTTAATCGCACTGTTAAACAATAGAATGCCAATTGAAATTTATTAAATATTTTGGATGTTTTTCTACATTTTCAAATATATTGATTTCAGTTACAACACAGAATACAGAGTGTACACTGCTCACTTTATATTATTTTTATTACCAATATTTGCACTGTAAAAATGATAAACAAAAGAAATAGTATTTTTCAGTTCACCTCCTGCAAGTACTGTAGTGCAATCTCTTTATCGTGAAAGTGCAACTTACAAATGTAGATTTTTTTGTTACATGGTTTTGTTTTTGAGTGCAGTTATGTAAAACTTTAGAGCCTGCAAGTCCACTCAGTCCTACTTCTTGTTCAGCCAATCGCTAAGACAAACAAGTTTGTTTACATTTACGGGAGATAATGCTGCCCGCTTCTTATTTACAATGTCACCTGAAAGTGAGAACAGACATTCGCATGGCACTTTAGTAGCCGGCATTGCAAGGTATTTACATGCCAGATCTGCTAAGCTTTCGTATGCCCCTTCATGCTTCAGCCACCATTCCAGAGGATATTCTTCCATGCTGATGACGCTCGTTAAAAAAATGTGTTAATTAAATTTGTGACTCAACTTCTTGAGGGAGAATTGTATGTCTCCTACTCTGTGTTTCACCTGCATTCTGCCATATATCTCATGTTATAGCAGTCTTGGATGATGACCCAGCATGTTGTTCGTTTTAAGCACACTTTCACTGCAGATTTGACAAAACGCAAAGAAGGTACCAATGTGAAGTTTCTAAAGATTTAAGCATCTGATGTGCCTTCCAAAATCTGATTGGGACGGGGTTTGGAGCATGCTTTCAGAAGTCTTAAAAGAGCAACACTCCAATGCGGAAACTACAGAACCTGAACCACCAAAAAAGAAAATCAACCTTCTGTTGGTGGCATCTGACTCAGATGATGAAAATGAACATGCATTGGTCTACACTGCTTTGCATTGTTATCAGGCAGAACCCATCATCAGCATGGACGCATGTCCTCTGGAATGGTGGTTAAAGCATGAAGGGACATGAATCTTTAGTTCGTCTGGCATGTAAATATCTTGCAACGCTGGCTACAACGGTGCCATGCAGACGCCTGTTGTCGCTTTCAGGTGACATTGTAAACAAGAAGCGGGCAGCATTATCTCCTGCAAATGTAAACAAACTTGTTTATCTGAGCGATTGGCTGAACAAGAAGTAGGAATGTGTGGACTTTGTTTTATTTTTGAATGCAGTTATTTTTTGTACATAATTCTATATTTGTACGTTCAACTTCCATGATAGAGATTGCACTACAGTACTTGTATGAGGTGAATTTAAAAATACTATTTCTTTTGTTTTTACAGTGCAAATATTTATAATAAAAAATATACAGTTAGCACTGTACACTTTGTATTCTGTGTTGTAATTGAAATCAACATATTTGAAAATGTGGAAAACATCCAAAAATACTTATATAAATAGTATTCTATTATTAACAGTGCGATTAATTACTTTTTTTAATCGCTTGACAGCCCTAGTAATTATATATATATAAAAAAAGAATTTCTGTACATAGGGTCACTAGGCTGAGGAAAAAAACTTGCACAATCTTTTCTTGTCAAGGCCACACACGTTCATCTTAACAGTAATTAAATCATCCTACTTTGCGTTATTAAACGCCTTTGTTCAGTCTGTAGCACTTAAAAGTGTTCAGCACTTGGTTTTCTTTCTGTTGACACAATGAGGAGAGGAAATGGCCTAACTATCCAAATGTAAATACCTTCTGCTCCAATCATTTTCTATTCTTGCTCCATCTAAAGTTCTCCCAGGGGAATCTAGTGATGCATGAATTCTTATTACTTCCATTTAGTGATTAACGAGAAGTGTAGTTTTTGCTATAGTCTTGCTTTCTTAATGTACTTTCATGCCATAGCAAATAAACATTGCCCATTATGAATAAATTGAAAAGGAAGAATGGGCTTTTCCACGAAAACTAATAAAACAGGAGAATATTACTGAGATGTATTGTTCTGGGTTTTTGTCCACAGATCCAGCTATAGGTTACAGTGCAGTACAGTTTTTCCACTTTTATTTTCTCTCACTTTGGTGGATCTCAACAGTGAATTTTTTTTACAAACAAAATCAGGCCTTTCTTGACAGCTGGAGCTGGAATTTTCCCACTATCAATAATAATGTAGAAAAGGCAGAAATGTTCAATATTTCTGTTCTAGGTTTGGAAAAAAACAGATTTAGTCATATCATATACCACTCTTTCCATTGTACTAGGATCGCAGTAGGATGTTAGACCTTTTAAAATCAGCAGGTCAAAATAACTTACATCCAGGAGTTTTCAAAGATCCAGCTCAAGTGCTCATTGGACTGTTAATGTTGATTTTCAATGAAGAGTACGTCCACACCTAAGGCAGTGTGTAGAGTGCAGACACTGCACCCAGCTAGCATAGGTATAAATAGCAGTGTGGATGGTGAGACACAGCTTGGGCGAATAGAGTAGAAAAGAATCCTCTATGTGCCTGAATTATTGACTGTATGCCCTACACAGCTTTCTATACACCCAAGCAGTGCCTCCCAAATCTACCCTTCTGTTTTTAGTAGTGTAGTGTTTTGCTGCTTCCCCACTGAGAAGCCTTTCCCCATTGACTCCCCACTGCTGGAATCTTTCGTTGCCGCAGTGGGGAGCTGCTGACGCCTTTCACTGCTGTGTGTAGCTATACACTGCAGTGACAAGTGTGGACACAGGCTGCGTTTCACTGCAGTGTGTAGCTACACATACCCCACACTGCACCGTAAGTATAGACATGGCCAAAGTCTTGGAACACTGGCGAAGTTGCAGAGCCAGAAGACTGGAAGAAAGCTAATGTAGTGCCACTATTTTGAAAGGGTAAACGGGATGACCTGGGTAATTATAGGCCTGTCAGCCTGATATTGACCCTGGGCAAGATAATGGAGCTGCTTATACGGGACTTGATTAATAAAGAATTAAAGGAGGTTAAGCTGTAGCCGTGTTGGTCCCAGGATATTTGAGAGAGAAGCTAGGTGAGGTAATAACTTTTCATAGAATATCAGGGTTGGAAGGGACCTCAGCAGGTCATCTAGTCCAATCCCCTGCTCAAAGCAGGACCAATCCCCAACTAAATCATCCCAGCCAGGGCTTTGTCAAGCCTGACCGTAAAAAACCCTAAGGAAGGAGATTCCACTACCTCCTTAGGTAACCCATTCCAGTGCTTCACCACCCTTCTAGTGAAAAAGTTTTTCCTAATATCCAAGAAAAAGTTTTTCTGTTGGTGAAAGAGACACGCTTTTGAGCTTACACAGGGCGCTTGAACAAGCTTGTCTCTCTCACGAACAAAAGTTGGTCAATAAAAGATATTCCCTCACCCACCTGGTCTCTCTAAAGGAGTTTAATACAGTTAATGCCATCAGTATGGATTTATGGAAAATAGATCCTGTCAAATGAACCTGGTATCCTTTTTTTGATGAGATTACAAGTTTGGTTGATAAATGTAATAGTGTTGACATAATATACTTAGTCTTCTGTAGGGCATTTGACTTGGTACCACACAACATTTTGATCAAAAAACTAGAGAAAAAATTAACCTGGAATTCATTAAATGGATTAAATGCTGGGTAACTGATCAGTCTCAAAATGTAATTGTAAATAGGGAATCATCATTAAGTAGGTGTGTTTTTATCACCCTCCACGGGTGGTAAGAGGTCCTGCTTCTTGGTGTCAGGGCAGGATACGAGGGTGAGGAAGTGAAGGGTATGGAGCATGAGCATGTACAGCTGTTTCCTAGGCACAGTTCGGAGGCAGGCCGGCTGCAGGTTACGCAGCCGACTCAGCTGGTGTGGAAGGTGCAGCTGGGGAGGCTCATGGGGCAGGGGCCCGATGTTGAGGTCCGGATCCATTGGAGAGGCAGCTGAGCGAGCAGCCCTACTTTGGCTGAGGATTTGCCTCACAATGGCAATCTTGCAGAGCCTGCTGTCCCCTCTGTGATGGGTTCGGTCACAGAGATCCCCTTGGGACTGTCACCTGATGTGCTGAGACTACCTCTAAACCTGTTTTCTCTGCCAGTTTGGGCCTCCAGAACCCTGCCTTGTTGAGCCAGACATGCCACTCTGCTCCAACACAGACCCAAGGTCTGAACCACGCGCCCCAAAGCTGCAGACTTAACTGAAAACAGCTTAAGAAGTGCTCCTGTCTCCAGCACCCAGACACCCAACTCCCAATGGGATCCAAACCCCAAATAAATCTGTTTTACTCTGTATAACGCTTATACATGGTAAACTCATAAATTGT